TATGTCTAGTCCTGGACAACATGAGGCTCCATTTGAGGGGGGTTATTTGGGATTATGATAAGAATATATCTTTGGTCTATTCCTAATACCTCCACCTACAAACAGGATTGAAAATGATTTTGGTTTCTGGGTACCCTCAGTTTTGTAGGCTGCTTACCCTCATTCAGATGATAATTTGCAGAACAATCTCTGTATTAGAAACCTTACTATTAATAAAAGGGACTTTTGCCCTGAGCGGTGAGCACCTTCCTTGGTTTTGCCTTCTGTCTCTTTTAGCTGACTAACAGAAGAGACGTCTTGGACTAATGTGAACAGGAAATAACTAGTGGCAAAATCAAGGCTCAAGGTTCTATTTGTAGATGCTTTGTTAAATAAACACATCTGTTGGACGTGAAGGCTCCTTGGTTTATTATAGCAATTTCTTACCATAAGTAAGTAACAAAGTGTCTGAATTTCACACATGTGAAACACATGTTACGTTTCCTAGCAGGGAATAAGACTTAGTCAATAATTTTTTCAGTAAAGCTCTTAGATTCAGAGTTTCACTTAACCAAAGAGATATTGTCCTTGACACTAGAACTGCACCTTGGACCTCATTAGTGGGCGTGTTTATTGGTGGTTCCTTATTTAAATCTGTTATTCAACATTTTTTTGATCTTTAACAGATGTACCACCTGGCCTAGTCATGGATTGATCAAAAAAAAAAAAAAAAAAAAGGGATATAGCAGGTAGCAGTGCCCTGGAATTACCAGTTCCTGAAGCAAAGCTCAGCCAGCTTCCCGGCCAAAGTCCACTGTTTACTGGCTGGTGACCTTGGGCACAGCCCCCCGAATCTTATGTTCCTCCTCTAGAAAATGAGATTATAAAATAACCCATTTACACTTTTTAGGACTTAACTGAGATAATCTAATTAAAGTGTTAGTTACTATCATCACCATCACCACTGTTATCATCATCACCTCTTAATCTCCCACAATGCCACAATGTAATAACAGAGAGAAATGTCCATTTGTTGTATAATTCATTCAACTTACTGATGAATTTTAGATTTGGGATGAAACCTACAGAAATTACATATTCAAGTTATTATTATTATTATTTTGAGACAGAGTCTCACTCTGTTGCCCTGAGTACACTAATGCTGTGATGTCATCACAGTTCACAGCAACCTCAAACTTTTTGGGCTGAAGTGATACTCATGCCTCCACTTCCTCAGTAGCTAGATCTATAGGTGCCCATCACAACCCCCAGCTAATTTTTCTATTTTTAGTAGAAACAAGATTTCACTCTTGCTCAGGCTGGTCTCCAACTCCCACGTTACACAGTGTACCTACCTCGACCTCTCAGAGTGCTAGGACTGCTTCAAGTTCTAATGTACCTTCTATGTATTCTGTTCCAATATTGGGGGGCAGGAAGAAAGTGCCTTCTTAACAATTTCCCACTCCAGAACCCTAGAAAACAATGTGTATATGAAAAATTCTAGTAAAATTCTTTGTACATTGTATAAAAGGTCTGGGAGAAAAAGGGTTCATTATTTTATAACAGTTTTACAGAGAAAACATAGGCTTCAAGAGAGTGATTTGCTCAAAGTTTAAGAAGCAAAAATGTTGTTTCTTAAACTCCTTCTTGAGTTAAGTCAGATTTTGTTTTGTGTTTAATCACACGGACGCGGTTATCTTCAGCAAATGTTTCTTAGGAAACTCAGGCAGAGGAAAATTCCTCCTGAGAGTGGCCTGGGCAGCAGGTGTTTTCCATATCACTTAACTGTAGTCCTGTCTGCCCTCAGATCTCGCTGACATGAAGTAAACAGTGGCTCTCAGGCCAGGCAGCACTTTAGAACCTCTCCCAAAGCCTTAAACATGCCTCAGCCCAGCCCTACTCTGTAAGATTTTGCCTTTTAGCCTGGGTGGGCCCCAGGCATCAGAATTCTTAAAATCTTTCCAAGTGATTCTAGAGACAGTTTCAATCAAGTGGTCCCCCTTAGCCTTCTATGATTCTATGCTTTCTACATATTTACAGATTTTAGCATGTTAAAATTCTGCCCCCCTTTTAATTTCTGTTTGAAAGAGACATATTTTAACTTTGGAAAATTAAGAAACACAATAGGGATTCACCAATCTGCTCTTCCGAAACATAGAAACACTCGATTTTACAGAAGAATTGCCAGAATTGTTTTGTAGCTACATTTGAGATACTATTGGAGTGACTGGTTTTTTCCATTTACACAATCAATCACCTGGATGTTTTTCCTTCTAAATTCACTTAACACCAGCAGTTCTCAACCTGTGGGTCGTGACCCCGGTGGGGGTCGAACAACCCTTTCACAGGGCTTGCCTAAATACATCCTGCATATCAGATATTTACATGACACTTCATAACAGTAGCAAAATTATAGTTATAAAGTAGCAATGAAAATAATTTTATGGTTGGGAGTCACCACAACATGAGGAACTGTATTACAGGGTCACGGCATTAGGAAGGTTGAGAACCACTGCTTAACACAATCTTCACCAGATGATTTAGCTCTTTGAAATATGCAAAGTACTGTGATGGTTCCATATATTGCAGTAATAATCACATGGTGCAGAGAAGTAATAAAATAATAACAACAATAGCAATAATAATACCCTGATCATCATGGGGGATGGTCTTTGGATTAGGATTATTTGCTGGAGCGATTGTGCCCTCGCACATTACAGGTTCAGATGAGTGGTGTTTGAGCCTGCTGAGATCTGAAATTGCAATGAAAGACTTTGTACACTAATGCTTCTGTGTTACATTGTTTCAGTCGAATATCCAATAACTTATCTGGTGCCTGCTGCAGCATACTAGTCATTTCTTATGATAACTCTAACCACATATGGTGATTGAGAGAGATGTAAAAGGTCCCTAAGAGCTGCTAAGGGAATGATGAAGACCCCATAAGTAGACACACAAAGAAAATTAACATGTACCCCTCTCCCACGCCTGGTTCTTTCTCTGATTTTCTATCTCATAGAAAGGGCCCTTTGGTTCCCTCTTGGAAGATCTTCTAAATTCTCCCTTCAAAACATGAATAATTCACTTGCTGTGCTTTTACGATATATACAGTGTATTTGCACCAAGGAATTGTTTACGTGCTTGCCATGAGTTATTTCTTTTTGCAGAAGGATTAACCTGGTTAAGTGGAATATGATCCTGTTGGAGTTGGCTGTATTTTTGGATGAAGTGTCAGAAGCCACATACGTGTGGGTGTGTAATGACATCCTGTGTACGAGAGCACACGTCAGAATGTCCCTTTCGTTTCCCTGATTTAAACACGTAGGGCCATTGAAACCTGCTCTTCCATCTGCCTGAAATGTCTTTGTTTCTACCAGGAACCCCTCATCGAGTTCTTTCCAGAACTCCGCTTGGTTGTGTGTGTTCAGGGCAGCTTTCTCTGATCTCCCGTGGTACACTGACTTGTTTGTTCTTAGAGCATCTCTCTGAAGTTTCAATTTACACTTACTGAGTGACGATTTTGTTCTATTCTCTGTCTCTCTTAAAGGTTGTAACTCTGTGACCTACCAATTCAGGGTTTGTGCTTGCTTTTGTTTATTAAATATGTTTCTAGCTCTGAGTCTGGTGCCTAGATCCAATAGGTCTCCAATTATTGAATAAGTACATGATTAAGAAACTATGCTTTGTCTTTAAAACAGCTACATTCCACTTCAAGGGTTTTACAATACTGAATTTTAGCTAATGTTTTATGCAATACTCTCAAAAATTAAAAATTAATGGCTTAAGGAGTGTGATTGTGTCAAATAATGGATCTTACTAAAAATATTTCTTATTCAACTGAATTTGAAAAAAGATTTAAAAAGCTACCCATAATCTCTTCATGTTAATATGGCAACTATTTCCATCTCATCAAAGGATACTATCCCCCCTAAGCTGATTTGATGCTGAGTATTTAGTTTCCAAATCTCTTTAGTTTTGTTGTTCTTGTTTCCTGTTTCTCTGTATGATGATGGGCTGGTTCCTAAAGCATGGCTGGAAATGAGGATCTTTGAGAAAAAGCCTTTTATTCGTAGTTATCTAAAAAGCCAATGGCCTCTAGAGCAGCGGTTCTCAACCTGTGGGTCATAAAAGGGTCACTGCAGTAGGAATGTTGAGAACCACACTGCTCTAGAGGTAAGAGTAAGCTGAACCACACTCCAAAATAACCTTAGGCTCGGCTGCCTGTCATCCTCAGCAGCCCACTTAAAACTTCTTTTTCAGCCTCCCAGACTCCACTGTGCCAAATTCAGGAACAAAGCCTGTCTCATTTAAGACTTTTTCAGTCTATAGGATCTTACTTGAAATCCTAGGAACTATTGTCTAACATGAATTTTTATTTTGCATGTTTCAACAAGAGATTCCTTCATTCTTAGAACTACCACAGTCACTACTGTGATTCAGTGGCTCCTGACTAAGATTAGGGCAAAATGTGCAGATATGAAAATAGCTGAATTAATGCAGTGAGCAATTAAAGTTTCTTCCTTATGAATGTTGCATGGTTTTTTCCAATAATTTTTTATTTCTTTCATTTTTATTTTTTGGAGTGTTTGGCTGGGGCTGGGTTTGAACCTATCACCTTCGGGATATGGGGCTGGCACCCTACCCCTTTGAGCCACAGGCGCTGCCCTTTTTCTGGTAATTAAAATCAATTGATTAGTACCAACCCTACACCAAAAAGAGAATGCACTTTGAAAGAGCTCCCTGCACGTGGCAGGAGGTTGACATAGTTTCTTAATGGAACAGGCCTGGTGGGAACACTGAGGCAGCTCCCTGGCAGGTTTGGTTGGGCCCAGCACCTGTTGGCAAAGGCTCCCAAGTGGATGCAGCGTGTATTTTGGTATCACTGGATGCCTTGTAATAGCGAACTTGATAGTCATGCATGTTTTATTCTCTCTCTGTTGTGCTGTCCAGAGGGATAACCAATTGGCTGATGGAGTCACAAATGAAAAGTAACCCGACTCTATTGACCCGCTTAACCCCACGCGGGGGGAACGATGGGAAGGAGCAGCCGTTTGCTCTGAGAGAGTGGAACAGGTATGGAACAGCTCCTTCCATCCTTGCCTTCTTCTGTTTCTTTGCACGTTTATTTCCAGACCAGCTGAAAACAGCAAGTTGTTCCCGTTTGAAACGCAGAATCGGAGTTACAGAAACAGGTAACGGTGGGCTCTTTGTAACGTTTCCAACCTACCCCATCCGCAGGTTGCCGTTTATACAAAAGACAGTTATTTTCAAACAGCAAACGAGTAAGCACACTAGGAAGAATTATTACTTTTAAACATCGGATTAGCCTTTTGGATGTATGTTAAGCTCTAGGATACAGTATTCAGATTTTGCTTCACTAAACAGATTTCTATGGAGGAATCAGAAATTGTGATAAAACAGTCAAGCGTGCTGGCTCCCCCAATGTCAGCCACTGAAAGTGTTTGTGCCGTGTTTGCTGATTGAATCAACTCTGCCCATCTCCATTTTCTCAGTCACGAAGGAACTCTGTCAAAAAGGCACAGTTTGAGTTTTTTCATTTTTCACGATTCACCTAACAGATATAGGTGAAGTTTATTTTACTCTGAAAAGGAAACTTTATTTCAGTGTGAACATTTTCAAACAGCACCCTTAGGACCCCCGGAGTTAGAAGCCCTGGGGTTTTTGTTTATTTTGCGTCTTTGCCCGTTGTCATTGGGTGCTGTTCCTTTGTTCAATGATATCAAGAGACAGGTGAGCGAGATGAGGTTTGGCAGTGACTGTGAAGAGGGGGACGCTTTAAGAAATCATGACGTTAATGGCCTTGGAATGCAGCTAGAAAATAATTTCAAGCTCAGAAGATTAAGTATCATGTACTGATGATCAAAATTAAATTACTTAATGACTTTACATGACAACATTTTTACCCCGTTGGATGGCTTACAGATGAGGAACTATGCATAAATAATAAAGACTTGAAATGTGCCCAGGAATATTAGAATTCAAAAGGTTACAGGAAAAGAATTTATAAAAATTGTATTTTATATAAGGAATTAAATAAGGTTATGACTCCATTATTTAAGATTATTCAGGAAGAGTTTTTAGAGGATATTTTGACCGCTGCTCTGTAGTTAGTGTGTTCTTAGGGCATAACATGTTTTCCAACATTAAGGGTTTCAAGGTATCACTCTATTGAATCTGAAACTAACTGTCATCTAAATCAGTAATACATGAGGAGCCTGGTTGCTAGCCCAGCAAGGGGACAGAAGTAGTATGTTCTGTTGCACAAAGCAGCCTTACAGTCTTCGGGAATACAGAAGGACTCTTGAGAAAATTCCTAAGGGCATCTTTTGGCAATAGGGCAAAGAAGATGAAACAAACAATAAACTCTCTATTCCACCCATTCTGAATACTGATCAATCCACACCATTTAGCTGCTTTCACTTATTGAGAATAGATTCTAATGCGATTAGCTTTCTAAATGAAGTAAGGATTTGAAAGAATACGTAAAGCAAAGGAGTAGCTTGTTACAGTGTCTCCCCGGATATGAGTTTCTATGTATAAAACTCTTTGAAAAATGGAATTGCCTTCCTTTTCTCCACTGGAAAGAGGAGAGTGGAGAGGTATGATCCTGGGGCAGGGAAAGATGAGTCTCAGGCTGCTTCCAAAGCTGTTCCCAGGAAGGGGCTGGGGGAGCCCCTGTCTGAGCTATCTCTCTTGTTCTACATCAGAAATAGTTTTGAGGAAGTCACCTGGAACAAAACTGTCACAAACGCTGCAGTCTCCCTGGAGCTCCCTTACACTGAAAAAGGTACTGGGCCAGGTCCAGGCACCCTCACCCCTAGGAACCTCAGCGTCTTCTGTGAAAAGCATGAGTGCTAACAGCCAGGCTGCTTTGCTCACAGACATCGGTGCACCTAGTAAAAATGGTACCCACTGCCAAATCTAATGTGCCCCCTTCCCATCATTACCCAGTCAAAAGGAAAATAATAACCAGGAGTTTCAGAATGCAGCAGGAGTTTAGCAAAGACTCAAAGACCTCAGGGCTTTGGATAATTTAGTGTCAAGAGCTTTGCGAGTAGCCATAGTTCTTTCTGGAGATGGCTCGGGGAGTTTTGACCTAATGACCAGGAATCTTCTTTTCCATATGGCTTACAAACTAGGCTCCCTGCAGAAGTTCTTAAATTCTCATGTAACCCATGGGATCCTCTACCTACGACTTCCTCTTTCCTGATTCTCATCCTCGTAACTCCCTTTAGTCCGTGTGTATTATCAGTGGTTGTGCTGAGGGAGAAAACTTGTGGTCATAGCCCTTAGGTCTTGTTGTGCCCGTCCTTCTGTGGCCTTTCAGCCTGGACATAGCTGAAGGGGCCCCACTGGCCTGTGGCCAAATAGAGTACATGTCTTCTTTGGTTGTATGTCAGTGCTATTCAGAGTTTTTGCAAGGATTAAATGAGATACGTGTGGGGGAAATTATTAGGAAACTATAAAGTATCTACAAATTTCAGGTATTGTTCAATATGGCATGGCAGCAAGAACCTAGGCTTTAGAATCAGACAGCTGTGAATTTAAGACCCACATGTGAACCTAGAAAGGTTACCTCACTTTCGTTAGACTCGGTTTCCTCATCTATAAAATGGCCAAGTGGAGTGTGTGCTTGCCACCACTTGAGGACTACCAGCCATTTATCTTTTAAGAGGTTTCTTAAAGGGGGAATTTATCATTATCTTGTGAACTTACTGTGGGCAAAACTGTAAAAGACTGTCTGGTTCTCAGCCT